GACTCTTGTTCTTTCTCTTCAAGAGCCCTCAAATGAGCTTCCATTACTTCTACCCTTTTATTTAAGGCATTGACCTGCAATTGTAGCTCTTCATTAACTAATGTTGTAGTGAATGTAGCAAATGGTTGGGGTATCCTTCTATTTTTCCTCCATTCTTCATATTCATGGGACGTAGACACCTAAACCTTTCCGAGTTCTTTATCTCCTACATAGACTGGTCTTTCCCATGCTTTTCAGACAATGGATACTTCTTCAAAGTTATGGGAGTAATGGCATAGACTCAGCCCTCTGAGCTCTTCTTGAGTTGGCACATTCTGGGTTCTCATTAGTTGTCTCATAGCCATCTTGGGAGAGTAAGCTATGCAACCCCTGAGGCCTAGTAGTGGTATGATCAGGTAATCTCCACATCGTATAAGAATATAACCGGGTCGGACCCAAGGGCAAACCCATGATACATGCTCTATTTTCCAGTTTTCTAACTCGATTTTCCATTCTAAAGCTTGATGATGTTGAAGAGGGATTTTTGAAAAACTCCTTAAAGGATCAGGGAATATGCCCATATAGCTTGAAGCGTAGAAATGAGTAATGCCCCATACATATAGTAATGAAGTACAACATCTAAGTGTTTTCCCCTGTTTCTGTCGGCAAAAATCTACTGAAATCAGGGTATCAACAAGAATTGCAGGTATAGGACTCTTAGAGTATACATCCCAGGCAAAGAATGCATCTATTACAGCATGATCCACAACGTTCACATGAAATGGGAATAATATGATTCCGAACATTGCCAATGCTAGAGTTTTGTTGAAAGTTGACCAATATTTCTTTTCAGCCAAAGAGATTAAGTGGTCTTCTATTATTGACATTTTTCAACCTCCGATGTTCCCTTTTCCCTCTAGGATGGATTGATGAGGAGGCAATCGTATGATAGTAGCAACCTTATTCACGACAACATATACTCCTGAGCAGACATAGACCCTGACTGATTGAGGCCATCTAACCATGAGTTCATATTCTTCTAAGGTTGGTACTAAATCGAACTGCGAAAACTCAAAGCAGTGTAGGTCGGGATTCTAGAAGTGGACCAATGCTCTAACAAAGATAGGATCAATTCTGATTTTCAAGAGGTCAAGAATCCTTCCATAATATTTCTCAAAATTAGTACTGACCTCCGACGACATATATGTACACAACTGCCTTAACTTCTCTACACGACATAGAAGGATTTCCACTTTCTTTAACTGTCTATTACTGGATCCCAACATTATCTAAAAGAAATGAAAATGCATGATATGAGGATGAGTCCTTGTAAATGCATGCATGCAAGTGTTTGTTTTTCTAAGTATTATCATGTTTTATTCCTAGTATGATACATGATAGTGCTTGGTTTTTTCTTAAAAAGAAAACTATCTATATGGATGTTTATAGCTTTTGATTAAAAGAGTCCTATTTTCTTCTCTTATTATTTTTATGAACAAATATTGTATGAATCATAAAACTTTTGTCAAAAATCTTTTTATTGTAAGAGGTTTTTATTGGTTTTAATCATTTTTTATATTTTTTATGACCCTTTATCTCTTCTGTCGGTCAACGTGGCTACTTAGCTTACAAAGAACCTGAAACCAGGCTAGCTTAACTGAAGACTGTCCGAGATAAAGTGGGTTTATTCTTATCATTTTTATGGTTTTTTAGAATTTTTACTATTTATTTGTTTGTTGTATGATTACCCTATGCTAATGCATCAATACAAATGCAGCAAACGAATGCACACACAATTCATTTATCCACGAGCAGAGTCACGCTTATTTCGAGGTGGGGTTTTCCTGTAGAAACGTGCTTGGTTTAGGTGGTTCTAAACTGTTCTCACCAAGGCCAAAGGTCCCTAAGGTGCCCCCATTATAGGGACCTCTCAATCCCTCAGTCCTCGAGTCATGCACGGAACTCCGTGTCGACATCCTTGGACCAAAAGAAGAGAGTTATCACCTTGAGTTGGTGGTTTTCCGACAACGGTTGTAGCCCCATGTGCCAACAAGCCGGTCGTATCTGCCACCCACTCCCTATAGGTATTCACTCTTGTCCCCAGGTATAGAGGGATTGTAGTGTGCAAGGGTTTTTTGTGTACAGTTTATATTTTAGATAATTTGCAGAACATAATCATACAACAATTATTAAAGCCATATAATAAAACATACAACGAAGGGTAAAGGCGTAATTTCAAATCTTTACTTAGTTTGAATTTATCCATCACTAAATGGGATCAACTCTTTAGCTTCCCCAGTGAAGTCGCCATCTGTCGCCGCCGTCCGTTCCGACGTCTAGGGACATCTCGAACGTTTATGCGAGCGGTCGCAAAAAGATGGTTTAGACTCGCGTTTTATTTTAAAATATGTTCATTGCTTCCTAGGTGCTCAACAACTGAACTATCCTCTAATAAAAGCAAGGTTTTCACAAAAGGGTTCTTATGGAGTCACCACCAATGTTTTGACCATAGACATTGGAAAAGGATAAAAAGGCATTGATTTTAATAAAAACCAAACTTGCCCATGATAACCAGAGTTAGGTAAGGGAGTTAGTTACGCGTGGGGAAGGTGTTAGCACCCCACGACGCCCCTTTCGGGTTCCTTATGATGGATTAATTCATCAAGTAAAGATTAAGAGAAATTACGCTATTACCCTATTTTATTATACAATATTAAAAAATGACTATCTACATGATTTTATTTTCTATTGCATACATAAAGCAATAAAAGAGAAGAGAAGTGAAAAGAATCTCCGTAGCAAGCTTTTTATTGCAAATCTTTAACTGTGCGGATGCAATTTGGCAATCCCCCGCTCTACAAAGACTCTTCTCCCCGAATACAAGATCGACTCTACTAAAATTTTAAGAAGAATCGAATGCTGGAAGAATATTCCTTAACTGATTGTTACCTTTTTATGCAATCGAAGAGTTCATTCGAAAGAGGGAGAGAAGACAAGTATCTGGAGTCTGAAAAATGCTCAAATGAGCTTCCACTAGTGCAAAAATGACATTTTACGTCACCCAATTGTCGTCGTATGTCAGAATATTCGACATAAATAAAATGCGGTGGCAATTTTGTAAATAAGAGGTGAAACTTTTACGTCGCATATTGTAGGAGGTGAAGTTAAAAACCTCTTTTACGTTGCACCTGGTACAGCGCGACGTAAAAGAGAGTTTTTTAAGTCGCGTGGGGTGTGCGCGACATAAAAAGTGACACTTTTTACGTCACGTGGGGGGTGCGCGACGTAAAATTATAACTTTTTATGTCACATGGCAGGTGCACGACGTAAAAAGTGATACTTTTTACGTCACGTGGGGTTGCACGACGTAAAAAGTATCACTCTTTACGTCACATGGGGGTGCGCGACGTAAAAGAGGTTTTTTACGTCACGTGCTAGGGTGTGCAACGTAAAAAGTTCTTTTTATTCTCTTCCAGACCCACTCCCGCATCTCGCGCCGCAAGGGTTTTTTAGAACGACAATGAGAACGATGATGACAACTACCTTTCCACACCATTTTCGATCATTTTGGCAGTGAAGAACATCAACATTGTGTCTCATTTTACGAATTTGACATTTCTCCCCAATTGGATTCGAGTTTGAAATCATTTTCGTGTTTACTCGAGGTTAGTGTTCTATGTCTCCTGATATATGTTCAAATTGAATCCGTGATTGTTTTTGGGGATCTCAATCACGTCATTGTATGAATGTCTCCACTGGATTGTTATTGGAATGTCATTATTTTGTTTGAGTGCATTTTCGGTTTACACACTCCATTTACGTGCTTTGTTGTTTGTATATTAATTTATTTTTAAATATAAATTTTGAATCTCTAGGAGTGACGAAACTTTATAACATAATATGAATCGAATTTGAATGAATGCACGTCGTATTAGTGAAGAGTACGCAAAGGGAGTTGATGAATTTTTGAAATTTGCTAATGAAAATGGAAAAGGTATTGAATAATATATGGATTTTTTTTCATTTTAGAATCGTGTCTATAACTAATATTCTAAGTGGAAAACCCAGAACAAAGACTTTTCAGTTCATTTATCCTAAGGTTAGAAACTTATTATAATAAGTGAATACCATAATTATTGTTTGTATTTAAATTTTGAAAATAACATTATATTTTATTCATCATTTTAGTGTAATAAGCAAACAGACTCATTTGAATGTGGTTACTATGTTATGTATTGGATGAGAGCCATAGTTTGTGCGGGTATAACTGATTCTTGGACGGAGGTAATTGCTTTCAGCATTAGTTAAGTTTATTTAACTTTATGTGTGTTGCTTTCAGGTATTTCAAGATTCATCGCCAGAATATGATATCACAAAAATTAGAGAATAATGGGCAAGGTTTTTCGTTCAACAATTCTAGTACTTAATTTGTTAGGTTATTGTTTATATTATATTGTGTGTATTATGTAGTTTAGGTAGCTTAGTTTGTACTAACTTTTAGTTTGTACTAACTTTTAGTTTGTACTAACTTTTAGTTTGTAGGTTATTGTTTGTATTATATTGTTTTATTATGTAGTTTGAATTATATATAATATTATATTTTTTAATTACATAACTAAAGAAACCTGAACCTCTGGATTGTTTGGTTATAATATATATTTGCAGGTTTTGGTTGTAAGACAAAATAAACCTAATTTTTTTAAAAAAAGAGCAAATTTACGTCGCATATTGGTATACGCAACGTAAATTTACGTCGCATATATCAATATGCGACGTAAATTTACGTCACGTATACCAATATGTGACGTAAATTTACGTCACGTATAACAACATGTGACGTAAATTTACTCAAAATTTTTTAATTTTTGATACTTTTTACGTCTGTTTAGTGTAAATACAACATAAATTAATGTCGGGTCTCGATAACTGACGTGAATTTACGTCAAACTAAGGGTCCAACGTAAATTTACATCTCCCGTTTTAACGTCAGTCTTAAATGCAACGTAAAAAACCCAAAATACCTGACGTAAAAAGCCTTTTTTGCACTAGTGTTCCTATTTATAGTTTTCGCAGCCTGGCAGCTCGAGACGACTGTCTGGGGTGCAGAAAATAGGGATGGTCGTCTGGGGAGGCCGGGGCGGCCGTCTGGGATCTGGGACGGCCATCCCAAGTAACAAAATTGGCTGAGACGGTCGTCTGGCATGTGGGACGAACGTCTGGGCTGACTGGGACGACCATCCCGACTTCTGGGACGGCCATCTCGACTGTTTTGGACAAATTTTGTGTTCTAGGACTCCCGGGAAGCTTTCCTTTCTTTATTCGGAAGTCGATTGATGTTAATGGACATCCACCGAAGCTTTATCTTCATATAGGAAGTCTTCTTAGCCTTTATTGAGAGGCCGGACAAAATTAGGGGTCTACACTCGTACTCCTCCAAAGTAGGCACCATTTCGAACCGCGGGAATTCGAAACAGTGCAGACTAGAGTTCCAAAAGTGAACTAAAATCCTGATAAAAGCGGGATCGACACAGATCTTCAGCAGGTCGAGAATCCATCCATAGGATTTTTCAAAATCGGAGCGGACCTCTGGTGACATCAATGCGCAAAGTCGTTCCAATTTCTCAGCGTGGTATCGGGGAATGTCCACTTTCTTCAATTGTCTACTAGTCCCTTCCATTTTCTAAAAAAATCAAAATGCATGCTTATGAACATGATGCTTATTGTAGGTATGTATGCGAGTGTTTGTTTTTTCCTAAATATTTATCATGTTTTATTTCTACATGATGTATGATAGCTTTTGTATATATTTTTTCAAAAATAAACTACCTATATGGATGTTTTATGAATTTAATGTTTATGAACAAGGTCTCATTTTTATTCGATTTGGGTTTTTGTTTGATTTTTTATGGTTTTATTTTATAGCCTTTTATCTCTTCTGTCGGACTGCGTGGCTACTTAGCTTACAAAGAACCTGAAACCAGGCTAGCTAAAAGGAAGACTGTCCGAGATAAAATGGTTTATTGCAAAAGAATAATTTTAACGTCCCTTATCTCTTATGTTGGACAGTGTGGCTAATAAGCTTACAAAGAATCTGAAACCAGGCTAGCTAAAAGGCAGACTGTCCGAGATAGGGGTGTTTATTGCGAAAATAATTTTTGTGATTTTTCTATTTTTATCTGTTGTTTGGTTATGCTATGCAATCAAATGTAACAAACAAATTTACATACACAATTCACTCATCCGCGAACGCGTAAGAAGACGTTTTAATCATGAGGTAGGGTTTTCCTGCAGAAAAGTGTGTTGGCAAAGGTAGGTTCTAACTATTCTTACCAAGGCCTAGGCCCCCAAGGTGCCCCCATTATAGGGTCCCCACTCTCCAGCCTTTCGACCATGCTTAGCACTAAGACCATAGTCAATCTTTGTGCCAAAAGAGGAAGGTTATCACCTTGAGTGGTGGTTTCCGATCATACCGATGGGCTGCATGGCCCTCACTACGAAAAACCGTACCTGCTACCCACTTCTTATGGATTTCTCACTTGCCCCCGGGTATAGAGGGAACTGTTGTGTGCAAGGGTTTGTGTACAGTTTTTATTTCAAACAATTGTGTAAAATAAACAAACAACAATTATTAAAGCCAAGTAAATAAATATGTTATAAAACAAGGTAGGGTAAAAGCGAATTTTCTAAGTTTATTTGTTAAACTGACCCATCACTAAATGGGATCAACTTTCTAGGCTTCCCCAGTGGAGTCGCCATCTGTCGCCACCGTCAAAAGAGGCGGTTGGAGCGACACAATGGTTCTGACTTCCATTTTCGCATTTTATATGGGTGAGGTTAGAAAGCCTCTAGGTTGTCCGATAACCGGGCTGGACCTAGGGGCGAGGATTTCGAAAGGGAGCTTTTAGGTTGTCCGATAACAAGGCTGGACCTAAAAGCAAGGTTTTCAAAGAGGGTTCTTATGGAGTCGCCACCGATGTTTTTACCGAAAACATCGGAAAAGGAAAAAAGAAGGCGTTGGTTTTTAAGAAAAACCAACTTTGGCCATTATAACCAGAGTTGGGTAAGGGAGTTAGTTACGTGTAGGGAAGGTATTAGCTTCCCTACGACGCTCCTTTCGGGTTCCCTATGATAGGTCGGTTATTTTATAAACAAACTTTTAAAATGACGCTTTTACCCTTTTATTCGCGGAATTAAAAGATAATGACTACATGACCCTAGTAGCTATTACATAAATTAATATAAGTAAAAAAGACGGTAAAAGAGAGGGTGAGAGTGAAGAAACCTTCGGAGCAAACTTTGACTAATTCTTTTAGAAAATAGGACGCGTTTTGGCAGTCCTTCGCTCTACAACGTTGACTTTTCGCTCTCACAACGCTATAAAAACCCTCTAAGAACTCTTAGAAAACTCTAGAAATGCTTCGGAGGGGCTCTAAAAGAAGAATTCTAAGAAATGCTATAAGGAAAGGTGGAAGAACTGTGTGAAAGAAGGGGAGAGCGCCCTCCTTTTATAGGGATTCGCGCGTATCAGGTCGAGATCCCCGTCTCGCCTGTTAAGGTCGAGACGACCGTCTCGCCAAACGGGAAGGCAGTCTTGCCATGACAAGTGGCGAGACGGCCGTCTCGACCTTGCCAATGATGAGACGACTGTCCCGATAAGCGAGACGGCGGTCTCAACCCTCAAGGTGAAATTCCTTATTTTTTGTACAGAAAAGCCTTCCTACTCTAATATGGGGCCTAATAGTCTATCTTAGGGACCTTTTAGGCCTTGCCCATCTTCGAATTGGAGGTCTTCTGCTCTTTATTTTGGGGTCGGGTAAGATTTGGGGTCTACAACTGTACAAATAATATGGCCGAATACGAAGCCTGTGCATTAGGAATCAAAGCAGTTATAGATCATGGGGTGACCAAACTCAGAGTTTTCGGTGATTCATCCATTGTTATCTATCAACTCAAGGGTGAATGGGAAACCCAAAATTCCAAATTAATCCCATATCTAGAGCACATTCGCGACTTGATTTTGAGGCTGGAAAACATCGCTTTCGAATATATCCCTCGGGAGGACAATCAATTCACAGACGCCCTCGCTACTTTATCATCCATGTTCTCTTTAGACCAAGAGCATGAGATGTCGACTATTCAAATCAAGTTGCATGACAAACAACCTTTTTGCATGATAGTAAATAGCGAGCAAGACAAAAACCCTTTGGTATCACGACATTAAGCGATACCTCACAAAGGGTGAATATCCCAAAGGAATCAGTGATAATGGCAAAAGGACCATCCGGAAGAGGGCCACAAGGTTTGCATTAATTGGAGAAACCCTTTATAAAAAAAAACTTGACTCCACTTTGTTAAGGTGTGTGGATCACGAGGAGGCTCAAACTATGATAGAGGAGATTCATAAAGGAGCTTTTGGGACCCATGTGCTAGGCCATGTCATGGTAAAGAAGATCTTAAGGGCAAGATATTTCTAGTCCACAATGGAAGGCGACTGTCGCCAATATGCTAAGCGATGCCGCAAGTGCTAAATCTACACTGATAATGTTCATGTCATGTCCGCACCTATCAACATCTTAGCCACACCATGACTATTCTCCATGTGGGGCATGGACGTCATCGGACCCATCAAACCCAAAACATCTAATGGTCACCGTTTTATCTTGGTAGTCATTGACTATTTAACTAAATGGGTAGAGGTGACATCCTACGCACACATGACTAGGAAAGTGGTAACCACCTTCATCAAGAGGAATATTCTATGTCGGTATGGTATCCCTCATCGGCTCATTAATGATAATGGGACGAATCTGAACAACAAGATGATGGAGGAGTTATGCCAAGATTTCAAGATTCAACATCACAATTCCTCTCCATACCGACTCAAAATGAATGGCGCAGTGGAAGCAGCCAACAAAAACACCAAAAAGATCATCCAAAAGATAGTGATACCATACAAGGATTGCCATGAAATGCTACCCTTCGCCCTGCACGAATATCAGACTTCTGTACGGACCTTCACCGGGGCCACTCCGTTCTCCCTCGTATACGACATGGAGGCTGTATTGGCAGTGGAAGTCGAAATACCCTCCCTAAGAGTCATTATGGAAGCAAAGCTAACCAAAGCAGAATGGGTCTAGAATCGGTACGACCATCTTAATTTGATTAAAGAAAAATGGTTGGACGCCATATGTCATGGGCAAGCCTATCAAAAGAAGATCAAGAAGGCCTACGATAAGAAGATCAATCCCTGCACTTTTCAAGAAGGGGATTTAGTAATAAAGAAACTGTTTCCCGCCCAGAAGGACAAACTTGGAAAATGGGCAGTAAACTACGAATGACCCTTTGTGGTCAATCAAGCTTTCTCAGAAGGAGCCCTTATCCTCACTAACATGGACAGAGAAGAGCTTCGGCACCCAGTCAACTCAGATGCGGTGAAGATGTATTACGCTTGAAGACATTGCTCATGACCCATCAGGACGAAAACTGGCAAAGAGCGTCCTGGGCAAAATATAAGGTCCATATTCCTCGCTAGGACACGTCCTAGGAAAAATTTAGAGGTTCTTCTAACAAAAAAAACAAAAAACAAAAAAGAGCAATGATTACCTTAGTCGAAAATCGCAAGGCGACTAAGGTAGTGTCCTTCCAAAAGCAAGCAAGCTTTGCATAGTGTTCGCTCCGGGCTCGAGCATCTCAACTGAAGGGACTAGGAGAAATAGGGAGGAAGATGTTAAGGACATGATGGTTATAGCTTATACAGTGTAGCCAACCTTGGTCAGCCATGCTTCTAAATCCCTTTGCAAACCCCTCTATAAAAATAAACCATTTGTTTATATCAATAAATTTTCTTTTACTTCTTTTCTCTTGACCAAATTATGAAAATGCCTTTATATTAATGAAACATAAGCATGCATAAAGAACCAATACAAGAAAGCATAAGAAAATGAAAAAGAGCCCACTAAATCAAGAAACCCAAAACAAGGGTGGTCCAAACAAAAGATAAGGCCAGAACAAGATTCGTAAAGGAATCTTTCAGCCCCTGCAACCAGCAGAAGAACAGTCACTTTCTAAAACACATTTCATAAAAAGATAGATTGCATTTAGGGCATCCACACAAATAATCGCACAATACGACTCAATTAAAATCTAAAACAAAAATCTATGTATATAAATAATAAAGAACACATTCATATAGGGAGACTAGGC